GACGGCGACCAACGTGATCTACATAGGGAGCTCCAGGCCAGCTAGGGCTAAGGGGAGATCTTGTCTCATATATATATATATATGAAAAATATTTGGGCTAGGAGTATATCACATTTTTAGGGTGCTAGCTTACAGTGCATGAAGCCCGGAGTGTAATACCCAACACCACAATAAATAAGTAAATAAAGGTGTTAATTTATCTGTTACACATTGAATGGAAATGTTGTACCAGGCACTGTTGTAGGCTCTGGGGATAGACTCAGGCTGACAAAGCTTCCTGCCCTTACACAGCTTACATTCTAGAGGAGAAGCTGTCCCTAAGTAAACAACTTGAATAGCAAGATCTGAGTGCTCTGCCTAGTCCTTATAAGACGGGTCTACTATTAGGCACACATGAACAGGGTGCCAAGAAGTGGGTTTCAGACAGTTCTGAAAGACAGAAAGACAAGGAGACAGGGCACCAAGGCAGGGGCCACCTAGCTATGGATCATGCCAAGAAAGAGACAGTAAAGCTTAATTAGAATGTGGCAGAGGAACCAACCATAATACAAGGTTTGGGAAGGATGTTCTATACAAATTGATATTCTTTGCCAAAGCTAAATGTCCCAAGGCAGGACTGTCCTGGTTTTTTCTTCATTGCTGTGACAAAATACTCTGACCACTACCAACTTTGGGAGGAAAGAGTTTATTCAGCTTACATCACCCAGGTCGCAGTTCATCAGGGAGCCCAAGGTTGGAACTCAGGGCAGGAACCTGAATGCAGGAGCTGGAGCACAGGCCATGGAGGAGCTCTGCTTACTGGCTTGCTCCCCTGGCCCCTGCCAGCCTGCTTTCTTATGCAACACAGGCCCACCTGCCCAGAGGTGGCACCATCTACCAGTGGTCTGGCCCCTCCCACATCACTCATCAAGAAGATGCCCTTCAGACATGGCCACAGGCCAGTCAAATAGAGGAAATTCCCCGACAGAGGCTCCCTCAATCCAGGTGTGTCAAGTTGACACTAAAGCTATCCAGCACACCCGCCAAGGGAGTTGGGGTTTTCCGAAGCCCAGATCTGTAGCTCAGGGACTGAGTGGTGGGTACTGGCAGCCTGGTAAAATTGCCCAGTGGAGAGTTGAAAATTCCATTTATATTGAGCAGGCATGGCTAAGGCAAAAGGATTATGAATTCAGGTTAT